AAGGTTTCATGATTAAACGATTCAAACAGAAACATAAGAAATATAAATGAAAAGATAAAATAATAAAAATTTTAATGGGGTTTTTTTTTCTTTTAAATTGGTCTATTCAAGTTATGCCCTCTTTGTAGGACGTTGATGCTGGCTCTTCTTTCTCTTCTTATTCCCAGGATCTTTAAGAGAGAATGTAGATGAAAATATTTCCCATCTTGTATATGAAATATAAATGTATAGATTATTAATTTGATTCATTTTATTCGGCCTATTCTTACAATAAAGTTTACTTTCGGCGTGAACCCTTCCTTTTAATCTATTCTTCAGAAATGAAAATAAATCTTATATTCCTTCAAATTTTATCTTTCCTTTTTTTTATTTTTTTCTCAAACTCGATGTTTGTGGAATGCAGTAATTTTCCGGAAATTTCCGAGAAAAGCGCAATAATTGAATATCATAAATTTTATCCTAATACCAATCCAAATGATAATGATGGAAGACTACTACATTATATATGTAAGGGAATATAATATCACATTTATATAGTGCTTGTGATCTTTAACGTTCTTAATTGCTTCGTAGATGTATTCTAATCTTATTATATCTTTTTGAAATTTGCAGCTCTATGTTTATCTCAGGTAAGTAAATTTACTTTGATGTCAAACTTTAAAATATTGTATGTTACCTTAACCACACATCTTATTCACACATTCATTTTTGATTATATCAATTGTCTTACAAAAAAGGCTAGCTTAATAGGAAGCCTTTTCGTGATATTCCAAACTCGTCGAAGAATTAAACAAAATACCAATCTATCGATGGGAATTCGATTGCCAATGTACATAGCGATCAATAATTCATTATCATGTCTGTCTTACCTTGCGAATGTTGTTGGGACTTTAATTATTGGTGTACCTTGGACTGGTCAAGCTTGTATCATCTATGGTTTCTTTGATGTATTTATGATTTCGATGAGGTAATTTATTTACCTACTTTCCTTATTTAATTTTTCTTTGTATTTTTTGAAAATACTAAAATTTGTTATTGTACTAACAGTATCACACTTGTAGCATTGGTAACAATTCGTACTTATTTAAAAGTTATAAAGAATTTTTATCTTGATACTGGAAAATATGATCATAGGTAATATGTTGTGTCAAAAATTTATATCATTATGTAATTGTGTAATTTTTACTATTCGTACAATATTAATTCTTAAATAAACGTGTAACGATAATACTGTAATAACAGATTATTCTTAGTTATGATTATAAATGCGTTAATTTTCGCTTGTATTGGGTTACCATCGTATGGTCCATCAAAATATTGGTACGTACATACTCCTATACTTACGTACTCTATCATATTCTATCCTAATTTTTACATATTAATATTTATTTATAATTATATAATAGGTGTTGGAGTTCTCCGGGTCAATGGTCACTTGCAATTTCAATTTCTAGTCTAATATCTATAACTGCTTTGTTATGCATAGTTTGTTACTCTCACATAATCTATACAATTATAACAATTCGGAGGCCTGATGGAAATGTTGGAATTAATGATGTACAACAAAAAACTGCTACACGAAAGATTTTGGCTTATACTTTTAATTACTTAATTCAATGGGTTTGCTTTTAAGTTTATTTTCAAAGAGTTAATTACTTATTTTTTCATGGGGTTAACTTCTTTCTCCTATCTTTTTTTTTTTTTTTTTTTAATGCAGACGCCAACATTACCATTTATTATAGGAGTAGCCAGTGGAAATGATCCTTTATGGGTTTATTATCTTTGTGTATTATCGATTAATATTGGCGGTATAGGAAATGCTTTTCAATACATTTGTCATGAAGGATTTTTATCAAACTCAAGGGCTTTGTCACACCAAATTTCAAATTCGATTCCCAATTTAAACACTTCGGAACAACTTTCGGAAACAAGTTATAATACAAATAATTCTGAATTACCTATTTTGAAAAAGGAAAATAACTGCTGTACAAGTATAACTTTTGGCAATTTATTGAAACATGAATCCAAAGTTGAAGATAAATGGAATGATATAAATGAAATGATTGATATTGAATTTGGTGAATTAAGAAATTCTTCCGTAAATAATTCATAATCCCTAAATTAGGTAAATTTAAAGAATGCCTATTTTTTATTTGTTAGGACAGATTGAAAAAATTTATAAATGTACATTCAAAGCTTTTGTAAATATATTCGGTTTTCTTTTTTTGATATCACTAAGAATGTTAAATGTTGTCATGGATTGATGCTGAAAATTTATTTGCAAATACAACCCTTACTAAATCCAATCATATTCTTTTACTAAAAGCCATCCCCTAACGCAAAGTTTGAAGCTTTAAAATTTCAGATCAGCTAACTTTTGCATATGCAGTATTACGCAAAGTAATTAATTAACTGGTACGTACGTATGTATAGCCTATTTATTACTCAAACATACATCTACCCAAAATGTCATGCAATTCAAGGAGTACATTGAATGGTGAGGTTTTATATTAAACTTTAGATTGTTATATGCATTCATTTAAAGAAGCACATTTATAGTATGTAGTATGCATATTTGAAAGTATGCAAAGTATGTACTCCTACAATTCAATTTTTACATATTTGTTTGTAAAGAATATTGCTTATATATATCTAATTTTAGTTAGTAACTGTATCTAAAATAGAAATTGATATTATAACGATAAGACTTCCCGATATAATATTAGAATAGCCTGGGTAATTCGAGGACTAAAGATTGTACCCAGATAGATATTTTTATTATAGGACTATAATAAATTATCCGAATAACCGGGTAATTTAATAATACCCGGGTAGAGATTTTCTTGACGGGTACATTCTCTGAGTAATTCTATTTCCACCCGGATAAAAATAGAATTTCACCAATTTATACTGCTTATTATCTTAGAAATATTAATTTTTAAATGATTATATTGTTGATATTATTTTAGAACGTGTAATTGTCAAGTGAAATCTGAATAATTTAACAAATTATTCGGTTATCCATCTATCCATCTATTATCTATTAGGTTTAGATATCTAATAGACAAATGGATAAATGGTTTATGGATGAGATATAGATAGTATTGCTTGCTGTAAATATTAATTGCGACTTTTTATGGCGCACTTAGAGTTGCGACTTAGCATCAAATTTTATTAGAAGTGTTGCAAATTAAAAAATATCATGTCGCAAAAAATCACAATATAAAATAATATCGTAATGTTTGTAATGTAAATTATGTAATTTTGGAGTCTAATATATATATCTTATTTTGTAATAGTAAATATATACGTATTATATTTTATAAAAAAATATAACTTATACGTATGATATAATTAAATTTTAAATTATACGTAATCTACATCACACATACGTATAACAATTTTGATATTCATTTTATTAATACGTAACGATAATTCCATAGGCTTTCGATCCTGTGACTCTGCAATCTTACATCTTTTTGCGGCAAAAAGAGTGTTCGCAAAGGTTGCAAATAAGTCTGATAGGATGCAAACTTGTGATTTTGCAGCAGGCAATCTAGATATAGATAAGTCAATAAAATTAACTATTGCATAATTCATAATGTAAAACAATTAAAATAAAAAAAATCTTTTTTTAAGAATTAGCCAATATTGTATGTTCGAGGGTTTACACGTTATATTGTATACTTATTAATAATAAACTAATATAGAAATTCTAAACCAATTTTTTATTCAAAATAATTACAAACTTTAAATTTTTATATTTTAAAATTTACTAATTTTTTATTATATATAGTTGAAATAGTAATTTTAATTTTATGTAGATAAAATTAAAACAACTTTATAGCTATATTCTTAAAAATATTAATAGTTAAAGCTATAGTTAGCTAATATTAAATTTTGAATTATTAATTTATTAAAAAATAAAAACAAAATATATATTATAATATAAATATTTCAAGAAAATTATTTAGATTATGTATTTATAGTTATGAATTATGCAAAGCAAGTCTCCGAAAATTATTAGATATATAATGAATTAAATCGGACTCCTAAAATAACTTATATTACATATATAGATAAGGGGTTTCGTGTAATTCATAAACCCTATAAAAATTTTTTTTTTAAAAAAAACTCATTTTTCCGAATAAACATATAAATTCTTGGTTATTTTTATAAATCTTGGTAATTTTCCGATAAAAATCATATCCGGGTAACATTCATCAAAATTAAACCACCTGGATTTGATTTGTATCCAGAAATTACCGGGAATTTAGATGCCTTATTCCGGAAAAATGAGCATTTTCCAGATAACCTGGTGAAAGTCGGGGTATGTTTTAAAAATTTTTATAGGATTAACTGATAATCAGCCAGGACAAACCTTTCTATGTTGATTATGGTCTTGAGCTAAAAATCGGCAATAGAAGTCCCTCCTAGGCCACAACAATTATTTGCAAATTTTAATATTATAAACCATTCTAAAACATGGTGTAAATAACCATGAAAGATTATGTCGTGACATCGTACCGTATTTTCGCGCAGAAGTGTAATTCGAAATTTGGCCCGAATCAAGCTTAATTCGGGCCAAATTCAAAATAATACCCCTGCGCGTTATTTCGCGGATTATCTACTCCACATATAAATAAAGACAAAAACTGAAACTTCAAGAGCAGAATAAGAATGAAGATCTCAAAGACGTAATTTACTCTCATATATGAGAAAATTCGCATATCATTTGACAACGCACAACTTTCTTTAACAATTAATTCAACGGTTCTTTACAACAATAATCTTGCAAAAGACGACATATCAAATGAAGAAATGAGATTGATTGGAAATTATCGAACAATATAAAAAAATCCGAAATATTAACCTATTTTTTTTATTTTTATTGAATTGATACCGTACAGCGCTGCATATAGTACCCCGGGTATTTTTCAAGAAAGCCGGCCTAGATTGAATAATACCTCCCAGATATTGGGAGATGGGAGAATAATACAAATAACCGTTACTGATCAATATATACCTTGCTATTAAACATATCAAACCCAATGAAAAGATCGCACTATAATTATAAAAATTGGGTCACAAACCGCTTGTCAAGAAAAGGGGGGATACTACTCCAGGGGGGTACTATATGCAGCGCTGTACGGTACTATTCTGGTATAGGCATTTGACCTTCTTGATAATCTTCTGCAGCAAATGAAATTGGTTGAAAAACATTGAATTAAATTTCAAACCAATTTAAAAGATGGTAGACGACACAACAAATCTGAACCAGACAAAAAACTTTTCAAAAACCTCTTTTTATTGGTAATAAATTCGAAATTCATAAGTATTCCATGCTATAGTATGTAAAGTTAGATAATTAAGGGCACTGAATAATTACGGTTTTTTTTTCTCTTTTCATGAAGAAAATTTTATATTGTAATTAAAATTTAATTAAGTCTTATAATTCTTTTATAATGTGCCAAAAAATATCGTTATCTGCTGGGTTACGAGATTTGGATGAGTATCAGATTTAAATAGCGACTATATGGTCATGTTAGAGGGGTTTGGAAAGGATATTATCGGAAAAAATACTGTCGAGAAATAGAGATTGTCGGGAAAGTAAAATATTTTTGGGAGTTTAATACTTTCGGGAAAGTAATACTGTCGGAAAAAAGGCATTGTTGGAAAAGTAATATGTCGGGAAAAAGGTTGTCGGGCAAATGAATTGTCGGGAAAGTGGGTGTCGGGAAAATGATAGAAATCCATGAAGAGCAGATTAGAATTTCTCCATTTGGTGCGTTTTTCGTAAATAAATCAAATTTATAAGAAATGTCGCGGCTGACGGACCTATTTTTTAAATGAATTTTAAAAAAATTTTTGGGGTGCTTTTTCCGCTTTTTTTTTTTTTTAGATGGGGCTAGGGTTCAGGGTTAGAATTTAGATTTTAGCAAAGCTTATATTTTTAAGTCGCAATCCAAATTTCAGCATCAGCCGTGACAAAAAATATGACAGATTAAAATAAAACATTAGGAATTAATGATTCGATTTCAGATAAAATAGGTGACGTATTTATTTCAAAAGAAATGACGTACAGATCCTATTTTCTTTAAAGATATATTTATTTACATAATCGTTTACCGAGTATTTATTAAAAGAAACTAATCTTATCCTGGTTACGCCTATTTATTTTCTGATTCGGAATTAAAAACAGAAAATACGATCTTTTAAGCTCCCATTTATTTCGAAATAGGTTAATTCTGAAACCCATTAATCTTAGTGTGAAAATTACGCGTTGTAGTAAATTTTTTTGAGCACATTGTTTTAATTTTAATTTAAGGTTTAGGTTATATTGGGATATAAGTGGATTTTGGAGAGTTAATAAAGACTAGGGTTGACAAATGATCTCAAAATAATGATTGATTTAAATCCGTTAAAACAATGGTTAAATACAGATATAATTAAGATCCAAAATTAAATCAATTTTTATAAATTTGTTTATCATTACTAAGATTTTTTTAAAAAAGATTTTTTTAAAAGAAAACCATTTGAACTTTACAAAAACTACTAAAGTTGATAATAATTATTGCGAAGACTGTATTGATTTAATTGATCGATTAAAAGGTAATACTGTATGGCTCGGGACATCTATACCCAACAATTACACAAAGTGTTTCAACTCTTTAAATTGCTATAACTTTTTATCTAAGAGGTTTTAAAAAATCTGACCAGTAACTTTATAGAGTTACACCAGCTCTACAAAAAGATTTTAAATATGAAATTTTGTATAAATTTATATATAAAATTTCAATTTTCAAATCGCTAAAACTTATTACATTGATGAGAATTTGAAGAGATATTTGGTACATATGTAGAGCTGGTATAGCTCTATAAAGTTACTGGTCAGATTTTTTTAAAACCTCTTAGACAGCGATTTAGGTGCCGCACAAAAAATGCGCGGTAGATCCTCGATTTTGATTGGCTAAGAGCGACGATCAAAAAATTAGGCCGGAATTACTCCTAATTTTACTACCGCGTAAGTGCGAAATAACGCGCAGGTAGAGTTGTATAACTTACCGTAAGTTATTTTTAAAATGTAAGTTACATTTTATGTTGTGTAAGTTACCATGTAAGGTAAGT